GATTGGAGACATAAAGATAAGAATGGACACCCTGGAAGAGAGACTGACGACTGCTGAAAACAGAGTGAGTAACGCAGAAGACTGAGCAATGCGACACGATAGAGTGTTAGCTAACTTGTTGAAAAAAGACGTCCTGCTAACTACAAAACAAGATGACTTGGAGAACAGAATGCGCAGACAAAACCAGTGTTGCCAACTTAGCGACTTTGTCGCTAGATTTAGCGACTTTTCAGACCCCTATAGCGACTTTTTTTCAAAAAAGCGACTAGCGACAAATCTAGCGACTTTTTCTGGTGTTATTGGCGACTTATCTGGTGTTTTGGCGACTTATCTGGTGTTTTGGAGACTCGTGAAGCATGTATTGTTCTGCTGTCCTCAACGTGAGCCCCTCCCCCGTCCCAAAGCACTTACAGGCGGCCAGTCTCACAGTAGCCTTGCGCAGCAGTCCCAGCTACAGTCTATGGGCGGAGCAGAGAGAGAGGAGACTCAAAAGCACAGGGAGTTTTCAGGCTGCTGCAGACTGAACTTCAGCTCCACCACCACCACACATCCAAAGCTCCCCGGCCACTCCTACCACCGCCACCCCCCACTACCCCCCACTCCATCCGCGGCAGCTCTGTCCGTGACTCTGTTTTCTCTCAGTAGTGGGTCACATTAAATCATTTGTTATGCCAAACTATGAAAAAAAAAAAAAAAACGTACTAAAATAAACCTAAGTAACTCTGCCAGAGTGTGTCTTTTGGGTCACTTTGCCGGTCCCAAGCCCGGATAAAGGAGGAGGGTTGGTTGTAGAGCTAGCAATTTCACCCTACATAACAATCTTTTGATTACATTTGCTGTTATAACATTTAACAATACAGGACAAAACTGATGTGTGTAATGTGGATCTAGACAAAGCATTAAAATCATTAAATGTTGTTAATGTTGAAATTATTTTTGTACATTTGTAGTTCTAAACATATTTAGGGTGTTTTTACTCACTTTTGTCTCTCCCACGACCTTATTCCTCTCTCCTACAGCGTCCGTTACAGTTATTTGCAAATGGCAAATTATGCAAATTAGGCGATGACGTCATTTAGCGACTTCTAGCGACTTTTGGGACAGCCAATAGCTACTTTCCTTACTGAGGAGTTGGCAACACTGGACAAAACATCAGACTATATGGGATCGAAGAGGAGGCAGAAGGAAAAGACATGATAACCTTCATCACTGATTTTTTTAAATCATCCCTGCAACTGCCAGATGATTTGGAAATCTGCATTGAAAGAGCTCACAGAGCCTTGACACCGAAACCGAAACCTGCCGCGCCACCGAGATCCATAATAGTGCGCCTTCAGGACTTTAAAGTAAAGCAAGAGATACTGAGGCAGGCATGGAAACAGCGAGACATGGAATTTCGGGGGAGGAAAGTTTACTTTGATCAAGACTATTCTCCGGAGGTACAGAGGAAAAGAAAGCAGGTGCGCGAGGTGATTAAAAAACTTAAGCAGCGCAGCATCAAAGCTCAATCGCCATACCCAGCGCAACTCAAGATTTTTCTGGACACGGGGATAAAGATCTTCCCCTCTCTGGTGGAGGCCAGGTCAACACTCGGAGAGCTGGGGATACATGTTGTGCTTGAAGAACGGGATATTTTGGAGAGAGAGGTGCTACAGGAAGCAGAGGGAAGAGGAATGGGCTGAACTCCAGAGAAATTAGATCCATTATTAACTTTGAGGACCAATCTGAAGAAGATTAAAAGAGAAGCCAACTAAAGAAGGTACAATTCTGGTGGAGCAAATGTTTCTGAAGTAACTATTTACAGGTTTTTTGTTGTGATATTTCAAAACTAACTGGTTTGAGCGGGGGCTATCCAGTGAATCCGGGCTTTAAGGCAGCGGAGACTAAATTTGCCACAGAAATGATGGCCAGAGTTCTAGTGACAGTCCTTTTCTTTCTTTCCATTTGGACACTTAAGGGTGCTCAATCTTTAAAAGCATAGATTTCATTGTCAATCTGCAGAGACTTTGTTTTTTTGTTCTTTTTCTTTTTCACTTGTTTTTGATATGAAGTGTGTCTTCTTTCTGAATAACACTTACTTAAAACTTTCTGTATTGCATACATGTGGAGATAAACTGTGAAGCTTGTAACAACAATAAACACTTTTGTTCAAAAAAAAAAGACAAAAAAAAAAAAAGAAAGTGAGACTGGATTCTTCTCTGACAAAGTTCAACTCCACGTTAAAGACAAGTTTGTGTAAGCCCTCAGTCGTCCAGGGATTAGTCAAAGCAAAGGAAGGTTTCTCACCCATCATCTGTACTTCTTAGCAAGTTAAAGACGTTAAAGACGGTTCTGTTTCCCTGTGCATAACTGAAGATTTTTATCTTTAATCTTTTTCAAAGCAAACTCCTTGTTTTGTGACTCCCTGTTACTTAGAGACAGATTTCTGATTCTGATCAATTGGGTAATGTGCTTTATAGTATTTAACTTGGTGCCACAAATCAAATATTAATGGATCAAGGTCACATTGTGTCAATTATTATCAAATTACACCAAATTCAAGATCACTGCATTTCATCTGGTGAAAGTGGAACAATTATTACCATTTCATTTTAAATAGAGCATGTCATTTTCTGGCACAAATACTTCCCACAGCGATGCCGCGTCTGAGTGGGAAGCACTCAGAGCGAGAGAGAAGCCGGCCTGGGTCTTTCTGTGCAGAGTTTATGTTTCTGCCTGTGTCTAGGTGGGGTTCCTCTGGGTGCTCCAGGTTCCCCCTCTACCCAAAAAATGAACTATATGTAAAAGCTTAATGTCCAATAAGTTGAGATAAGTTAACCGAGTGGCATTTACCAACGGGAAAAAAGTATAGCTGTCATGGGGTGAAGTGATGGAGGACTCAAAATGCAGGAATGCGAAAAACAAAAATGGTTTAATGATAAAAATCAAATAAAAGTCCAAGATGAAAACATAATCCAAACAAGAACCAGGAACACAGACTGACAAGGACAGACAATACAATGAACCAGCAACAAGAGGAAAGGAGCACTGAGTACATATAGACACAGACACAGGTGAAACACATCAGGGCAGGGCAGACAATCAACATAGGGGAACAAGACAGGAAGTACAACTAAAACCAAACTTATGTCAAAATAAAACCAAATCCACACCATGACAATAGCCTAAATAAATATCACAATTTTAAGGTATATTGGAGGATTTGCCTACATTTTAGTAAAGAACCGCCCTCTCCACTCTTTGGATAAACTCTCTGGTCTTATATGACGAGCACGTATCACCAGAATGATGGATGATTGACAATTGGGAGGACCAATAGTCTTGATGATCCACCCGGAAGACGAAAATCCTCCTACATACCTATAAGACGTTAAAAAGTGGGACTCTAATTAAATGGGATGGGGAACAAGCACAAAAGGGTTAGTTCTTTTTGGCACATTTTCATCCGGTAAATAGCTTATTGGCAATTTTTACGATTCAGAACACAAAGGCAGTAAGACTATATAAAGATAAAATAACAAAACAGGATCATTCTCAAATTTCCCCATCATGGGACGAAAAAAGAATCTCTTAATCTGAACCTTAACCTTAGGTTCAGATTCAGATAGCGAATGACAGAAAGTAGCAACGCAATATTTCCCGACAAATTTAGACCAATCGGCACAAGAGGCGCATTTGGGACGACACCACGTCATTGCATAATTGAGCGGGTGGTCCACTTAAGTCCTTATCTATCTGGAGAGAATTAGACCTCTGAATCTGCTGCTGGCCGCTCCACCGTGCATGCCAGGAAGTGATGGGCAGCACTGAGGGGCAGAGCTAAGATTAGAGCCGGCTTGATTGACAGCTTGATGGAGCCAACTGGAAGCGTGCCATTCCTCCGTTAAGATAGTCTTCTTACAGTAATGAAGCGGAGAGAGGCGGCGGAGGACACAGCTGGGAAGGAGTGGCGGAAGGAAGTGAAACTGCGGATGGACTCTGATTGATCTGGAGGACAAGTGAAACCGTAATTTGCAAGAAGTTGAGGAAAGTTAAAGGAGCAGTGTGTAAAAATCTGGCCAAAAGTGGTACTGCAGCCTCTCCCACTCTCCCTGACTCAGGTTGCCAGATATGCAGACGAATCCAGCTGGGACCATAACAGCTTTTTTTGAGTTTTGTCAACAACAAATCTATAACCAACACCTTTTTCACAAAGATAGAAATCCTGGTTGGTTAATGTTTTGTCGTTGATGATTTTAGTTTTGCGGCCACATGGTACTTTACTAGTGAGATTAGCTCGATGCTCTGAGTTCTGACAACCTGCATCACAGACTTTAAAAAGATTTAGGGGCTGTAAAACAAATTTTGAAACTCAACTATCTCGGCTGAACGACGGTTTTCAGTTCAAGAAGTATTGGAAGAGAGCATGTTTTATTAATGCCTTTTGACAGGTTATGGCCCTTTAATGATGACTTGAGGACAAATTGCCCTACGGGGATAAGTAAAGTGCAGCTTTATATTTACGCTGGCGTTAGAATTTGTAACTCTCACTGTTTTTGGTTTTAATTTTTTTAAGTATAGAGTTGTGCTGTACTCAATACTCACTTATCTTGTGTTCTGTGCTCCTCGTCCCTACTGTTCTGTAAGAGATCCTTTCTTCATCTCCCCACTGTGAGATGAACAAAGGATCTCTTAATTACCGCGGTATTTTTGCATTAGCATTGCTCATTTCAGCAAAAAATACTACTAGAGTGTGATGTCATAGTGGAGATGGGAACTTTTAGACAGAAGGGGTGGTGTTCAATGATTGTGCCAGAAGTTCCTGATATTGGCGTGGATGGATCTAAACAAAAAACACTCCATGTCTGTTTGAGATGAAGGAACATCTTGGAACATGGTGAAAAATGAAAATGTTTTGCATAGTATGTCCCTAAGAGTAGCCCGACTGAAGGCCATAGACGTGTGTATAGGAGTGTATGCTGCCTCCTGTGGCGCGGATGACCTTTCCGACGGCACATATCTCAGCGAGCATGTGATCGCAGCAGCTGGGAGGTGACAAAACGCCCTTGTGTGGACTCGGCGTGAGCAACACAGGGATGAAACACACACGGGTCTGCAGCCCAGTCTGAGGTCTGCAGCCCAGTCCGAGGTCTGCAGCCCAGTGCGAGGTCTGCAGCCCAGTCCGAGGTCTGCAGCCCAGTGCGAGGTCTGCAGCCCAGTCCGAGGTCTGCAGCCCAGGTCTGCAGCCCAGTGCGAGGTCTGCAGCCCAGTGCGAGGTCTGCAGCCCAGTGCGAGGTCTGCACCCCAGTGCGAGGTCTGCAGCCCAGTCTGAGGTCTGCAGCCCAGTGTGAGGTCTGCAGCCCAGTGCGAGGTCTGCAGCCCAGTCCGAGGTCTGCAGCCCAGTGACGGTCTGCAGCCCAGTCCGAGGTCTGCAGCCCAGTCCGAGGTCTGCAGCCCAGTGCGAAGTCTGCAGCCCAGTCTGAGGTCTGCAGCCCAGTGCGAGGTCTCCAGCCCAGTCCGCGGTCTGCAGCCCAGTCCGAGGTCTGCAGCCCAGTGCGTGGTCTGCAGCCCAGTCTGTGGTCTGCAGCCCAGTGCGAGGTCTCCAGCCCAGTCCGCGGTCTGCAGCCCAGTCCGAGGTCTGCAGCCCAGTGCGTGGTCTGCAGCCCAGTCTGAGGTCTGCAGCCCAGTCCGAGGTCTGCAGCCCAGTGCGAGGTCTGCAGCCCAGTCCGAGGTCTGCAGTCCAGTCTGAGGTCTGCAGCCCAGTCTGAGGTCTGCAGCCCAGTGCGAGGTCTGCAGCCCAGTCCGAGGTCTGCAGTCCAGTCTGAGGTCTGCAGCCCAGTCTGAGGTCTGCAGTCCAGTCTGAGGTCTGCAGCCCAGTCTGAGGTCTGCAGCCCAGTGCGAGGTCGGTCACTTCTCTGTCTCCACATGAGAGTAGGCTGCATTCTGGGTCAAACTCTGCTCATAAAATACAGACAATGTCGAAGAGGATTGTTACTGAATCTATAGTGATCAGCAACTATTCTATTTAAAAGCATATTAGAGATTAAAATCTGTGCACATCTTTAGAACTAGTAAAAGAGCATAATTTGGAAACACGTGCTTATGGATTGCCCACTATTTTCACCCACAGTTAAGCACCTAGAACAGATAAATACACACCTATACCTACAAAAGGTATTTCTTAGTAATGAAACTGTTTGTTTGAGTTGGTGATAATACTATGGATTTGCTTTGGATATACTCTGTGACAGTTCTCATATAAAGTATAAACAAACTGTGCAATACACGAATAATACTGAAGTCACGTTCAACAACAGTATATGTATTACTATAAATGTTAACAACATAAAGTTACTGTCAGTCTGTTGAGCCTATTATGTGACTACAATTTACAACTTATAATTACTACTGTGCAAAAAGTGAAAATAGCTCATAAATTGCCTAATTTTAGCACATTTTGCCTTAAAACAAGATTTGCCAATGGTCTTGTTTTAAAAATATACAAAAAATGTCTCCCTAAAGCAATATTTCTTGAAATTAGACAAAATTGCTTTGTCCCGTTGGAGAATCTTGTTTTAACACAGTCCGAATGAACTCAAATCAAGACAAAAACCCAATTCAAGCTATTATTATCTCACATTCTATCATGTTTTAAAGTGTACTGCTGCTACTGCTAAGGCTACTACCATTCATACTGATATTGGTAAGTAAGAAATCTGTATTAATACTTTTCACAAAGACACTTTGCTGCATTATTCAATCGCTCATAATGACAAGCTACAGATGTAGTTGCATCTGCCCTGGGGCTGACTGACGGGAGGGGTGTCGCTGCTCAGGAGACACTACCGGACGCTGCTACCAATGCCAACCTCTCTCTCACAGAGCAGATTCATGATAGGTCTGGGTGAAGTTTCTTGCCTAAAGACACAATGACCGTTTGCACTTTGCATCATCCCTTCCTACTGTAGCACCTGTTATTCTCAGAGGTCTCCCATCACAACACGATGTTGTTGTCACCGGGTTGCGCATCAGACCCCGGTCATACGCTCGCGCGGTGACCGCTAACATCGGGGGTGAGGCTGAGGAGCAAGGCGTGCGCTCCACGGAGCAACAAGTTGCGGAATTCCTGCATACTAAGGGAATCGAGCTTAATATTGACAACATTGAAGCATGTCACCCATTGCCTACAAAGAGCAACTCTGACAAACCCGTGGTCATTATGAGGTTTGTTAACAGAAAGGACAAAATAACTCTGCTCAGACAAGGATACAAACTAAAAGGATCAAATGTCTTTCTGAATGACCACCTTACTAAGCACAATGCGGACATAGCGAAGAAAGCTCGTTATCTACGCAAACAGCTCAAGATTCAGAACACATGGACTTCAAATTGCAAGGTGTTCATCAAGTTGAATGGGACGCCAGAAGAGGCGAAGATACTTCTGATCCGGAATCTGGAGGACCTGAGCAAGTATGAATAAGTAGTAGTAGTATCTGTCTTAACAAAGAAGCTAAAAAAAAAAAAAAAAACAAAAACAAAATTCTCCTGCAATGTCTGACACACACACAGTCTCACCACCATCTGAGAGCAATTACATGATGCAGTTGGTTCAGAATCACAATCAAGGAATATTTACATCACAATTTACTGAGTATAATATGCAGGACTCTGAACAGCATATTGACCCGGACAACAACTTCTTCTCCTCCATTGATAATAACTGTGATTATTATACTGAAGAGCAGTTCAACAACCATATTGATGCTTCAGGAAAATTATCAATGGTCCATTTCAACAGCAGAAGCCTTTATGCAAACTTCCATCATATCAAAGACTATGTAAAACGATTTACTCAAGCTTTCAGCATAATAGCCATATCAGAAACATGGACTTCAGAAAATAAAGGTGTAGACTTTGAAATTGAGGGGTATGAAATGAATTACTTGCACAGACAATACAAAGGTGGTGGAGGAGTGGCTTTATATGTCGATAGGAACTTGAATTACAAATGTATTGATAAAATGACAACAACGGTTGGGAATGTGCTTGAATGTATTACAATAGAATTAAAAATAGAAAATAGTAAAAATGTAATTATTAGCTGCATATATAGATCACCAGGGTCAAATATTGAAGTATTTACTAACTGGTTAGAAGAGACCTTTTCTCAAAGAATGCATAAATGGTTATTTATTTGTGGGGACATGAATATTGACTTGCTCAACCCTAAGAAACATAAACTTGTTGAAGGTTTTATCGATACTATATGCAGTCTGAATCTTTCTCCTAAAATAACCAAACCTTCTAGAATAACTGCACATTCAGCAACACTAATAGACAATATCCTTACAAATCATATGGATAATCATGCTGTAAGCGGTTTATTGATAAATGATATTACGGACCACCTACCAGTATTTTTAGTTACAGATCTGGGTCTAAAGGTAAAAACTGTAGAGAAAACAAACTATACCATTAGAATAATATCAGAAAGAACTATTGCAGCTTTAAAAAATGACTTACTTTCACAAGACTGGAATACTGTATTGAGCTGTGAAAATGTAGAGAAGGCATATGATGAATTCATGAATATTTTCTCAAATCTATTGAATAAAAACTGTCCATATGTACACTATAAAAAAGGAAACAAATATAAAGACAATCCTTGGATAACAAAGGGGCTACAAAGAGCTTGCAGGAAGAAAAAAAGGCTTTTTAAAGTTTTTATAAAAAATAAAACACCAGAAGCGGAAAGTAAATATAAAAGATATAAAAACAAATTAACCACAATAATGCGAAGGTGTAAGAAGGATTATTATAGGCAATTGATAGACAAAAATAAAGGCAACATCAAGGAAATTTGGAAAATAATGAACCATGTAATAAATAATAAACCTAAAACGGAAAGCTATCCCACATACTTCACAGATAATGGAAAAGATGAGCATAATATGGAAGTGGTGGTGAATAACTTCAATAGGTTCTTTGCTAATATTGGTCCAGAACTAGCAGCTAAAATTCCTCATCATAGTACAGAGGAAATGGAAAACTTAATTGACAGAAATTCTCAGTCCATGTTTCTTGGACCTGTTGATGAGATGGAGATCTTAAGTATTGTTAGTAAATGCAAAAATAAAAAATCAACAGATCACAACGACTTGGATATGGCTTTAGTAAAGCAAATTATTGAGGTCATTTCAAAACCACTCTCACATATTTTTAACTTGTCATTTCAAAATGGGATAGTACCTCAGCAAATGAAAATTGCTAAGGTAATACCTTTATTTAAATCTGGTGATAAACATAACTTTAATAATTATAGACCGGTTTCTTTACTGTCACAGTTTTCAAAAATATTGGAGAAACTCTACAACAGTAGACTGGAAAAATGTATTGAACAACACAAACTGCTTGACGACAGTCAATATGGTTTCAGAACAAACAGATCAACACTACTCGCTCTGATGGACTCAATAGAAGAAATAACTAACCACATGGACCAGAAAAGAATTGCAGCTGGCATATTCATAGATTTAAAAAAGGCATTTGACACAATAAATCACGAAATATTACTTAAAAAATTGGAACAATATGGGATTAGGGGTGTGGCTTTAAGTTGGATAAACAGCTATTTAAAACAAAGAACTCAGTTTGTGAAGTTAGGAGAACACTGCTCTACACAAGTGGACATGGTGTGTGGTCTGCCACAGGGGTCTGTGTTAGGACCAAAATTATTTATTCTGTTCATAAATGACTTGTGTAAAGTGTCTAGTTTGTTTAAAGCGGTCTTATTTGCAGATGACACAAATTTATTCTGTTGTGGAAATAATTTATCGAAATTAATTACTGATATTGAAAATGAGATGTTGAAACTTAAAATATGGTTTGACAATAATAAGCTATCTTTAAACTTAAACAAAACTAAATTAATGCTGTTTGGAAATGTCAATAAAGACAAACAGGTACATTTACAAATACAAGGAGTAAACATAGAGCATGTAAAGGAAAACCAAATTTTTAGGAGTGATTATAGATGAAAAGATCAATTGGAAAGCACATATAAAATACATCCACAACAAAATATCCAAAAGTGTAGCAATACTCAACAAGGTCAAATGTGTTCTGGATCATCCCTCATTGCGCATGCTTTACTGTTCACTTGTTTTGCCATATTTCACATACTGTGCGGAAATATGGGGAAACAACTACACTTCTACAGTACAGCCTTTGGTCAATCTGCAAAAAAGAGCCATACGAGTTATCCACAATGCCAGCTATCGAGAACATACCAATCCGCTATTTATCCATGCAAAACTACTCAAACTAAATGATTTAGTAGCCTAACTGCACAAGTCATGTATAAAGCTAAAAGAAAACAATTACCAGGAAGCATTCAAAGGCTTTATTGTGAAAGTGAAAGACTTTATAATTTAAGAGGAACATTTAATTTCAAAGTGCCTTATGCTAGAACAGCAAAGAAAAGTTTTTGTGTATCTGTATGCGGAGTAAAATTATGGAATCGTATGGAAGCTTGCTTAAAACTTTGCCATAATATTCATAATTTCAAAAAATTATTTAAAAGACAGTTATTTTGTAGATATCCAACAGAAGCATTGTAATATTTATATGAAGATTTGATTATTTTCTTGTGTGTTGTTGTTGGATAATCTTTAAGTCTTGAGGTAGTAAAGGGAAGTCGAAAGGTTTTTTTGTTGTGGTTTTGTTAAAAGTAGAAAAGGGGGCGGGGTTACATAAGTATTTATACTTCTTCCTGCTCCCTTTCGGACATGATTGTTTATTTTATTTATTCCTTAAGGGGAAAAATTGTACATACATTGTACACATATAGGTTTTTTTTGTGTGTTTTTTGTTTGTTTGTATTTATTTATATTATTTTATATTGTCCGAATAAAGACTCATTATCATTATCATTATCATTATC